CCTTCAAAACCACGACTGAGGTGCCCTTGAGCAAGGCACCGAACCCCCAAGCATAAATGCCGCAGCATAAATGGCTGCCCACTGCTCCGGGTGTATGTTCACGGTGTGTGTGTGTTCACTGCTGTGTGTGTGCACTTTGGATGGGTAAATGCAGAGCACTAATTCTGAGTATGGGTCACCATACTTGGCCACATGTCACGTCAACAAAACAGTACCTGATTCAGAAGTGCCAGATTGTCATAGCAAAGTCATAATTACCTCCTATATCATGTAATTAATTCAATATTTTTAATTCATTTATAGATTATACATTAGTAATGCAAACAAATGAAGTTAAAGGAATGATGACCAAAACAGAATTGTGTAGGGGGGTTCAGTCTCATTCTGCCTTTAGCTTTGTTTATGTCGCTCTCTTTTCTCTCTTTCAGTCTTAATCTTTTTTCTGTGTGGATCTTCGTAAAAAATTGATTGGGCAGGCGAGTGTGAAAATAATAAGCAAGGCTTATTAATGTGTAATTCAGCAGAAAATTACCATGATCCATAGGTAATATTATATTCCTCTTTGTCTGTGGCAATTAAAAGTGTAGGCCTAATTACTGTGTCTCCTAATTAGTTGTGAGTCACTGGAAGAACACATTAAAGTCCTGCTGTCGTTATGCTCACATATATTTTTGCTCTTCTTATTGCTGGAAAAGGGCTTCGTATAGCTTCAGTACAAGTTCAAATATTTTACTGAGGAGCAATATTGATCATAGGGATTGTACAGGGAGGATGAAATGTTTTACATATGTGAAAGTTTATGTAGTTCAAACAGTCAAGTTTGACATCATGTCGACTTGCCATATTCACATTTCCCATATTGACATACCACTGATTTCCACCTGAGTTCAGGCCTAGCAATGAAAATCAGTGGCTGTATTATGTTCTCAGGTCTGTACTGACAGCAGGAAGATTGTAGGTCTGCATGATTAAATAAACTACACATATATATGAAAATATCCACCATTTTATATCTTATGCCATACAATTCTGCACAACAGCTGTTACATTTGCTCTATTTTGCTTTCTCTTGGTCTGATATTCTTTCTATGTCTAACAGAACATATTTCAAGTGCGACAATATCGTTTTATTTGCGACAATGCAATTCTTCCTGGAAAGAAGTCATTTCTGATGTCCTTAAGAAAGTGGTGCTTGATGTAAGCCTCATAAAACCATGAATTGATATCTCATGTGTGAGATGCCATTTTAGATCACAGCAGGACATATTGCCAGATCATTCGAGGATTTCATTGGAGCTCTAACATTTGACACAGATCATGCTGTGGCTAAACAGGGTTTTTACATGTGAAATACTATGACGACACATGGAATGTACCTGATAGTGCACAGTTGGCTGCCATATCTGTTTACTGATCTGTGTCCTGTGTTGTCTCGACAGCACTTGGCAGATCATGCGCTTCTGGTATAGTATTGTAACTAAAGATCTGTGAAGCACGCAGAACTGAATAAGGCTCAGTATGGCAGATGTTCAGTAAGAAAATGCCTAGGTAATTGGAAAAAGCTACATTACTACATTATGTAATGCTAACATATCATTAGATATGTCACAAAATTGTATGACAGCCAGTTTTTTTCACTGTGCAAATGTGATTTGTCTATCTCAGCTCCTCCAGATCGACCTCCCGGAGATCTTTGGCCCAGCTTTTCTCCTCTGGTTTTCCTCAGATCCTGGACAATCAGAACCAGGTTGCTGAGGTTCTGGATCCTTCTGAGCCTGTGAACTTTAACCCCCAGAGAGAAGAAGCAGATCCTCTGCAGGCCAACACTCTCATCCTTCAGTTCCTTGCTTTTACCAGGTAATTCTGAATGTCAGGCCATAGCAACACTGGTTGCATTTTATGGTTACAATCTTATGTTTCTGTTCTATTGTGTTCTTTTCTGTATGACTTTTATATGTATATATCCACAGTGATACTCTGCTTTTATCTGTGGGCATTTAAAAAAAATAATTGTCTGCGTCTTTTCACTCAAAAAATGGTTCACTAAAAAGGTTTTCTGCTTGTTGAACATATCGTCACAGTTTACTTCCTTGAACACAATCTATTTAAATTGTAGACATGTCTGGACCAACACAGACATATTGGAAATTAATGTGAATGTTATTTAATTTTTTTCCTAACATCATCCATCTGGAATAACGTTGTTTATTTAAGTACTCTACTAAATTAAATCATTTATTTCAGTTGGTTATTTGTGTATTCCAGGAAAAAACTATTTAAAGCAATGGGGAAAAGGCCAAAAATTGCATTGAAATTGTATAATAGTATTAAGAAGTAATATAATATATTAGTATTTTTAATAGTTAATTACAAAATGCCTTAATCTGCTTAAAAAGATTGACAGGCGGGTCTGTTATAGAGCAGTATGTTCTAGTCTACAGCCTTTACAAGCAGTGCTGAAACACTAGCTATTAAACAGGAGATGCCAGGTCCTTTATTTCAGTAGTAATGCAGCTCTTCAAGTGTTGGTTCAGGGCCAAGCATCTCTGGCTAACTTATCTCTGCCTCCAATCAGCCAATGTCCATATATCACTCAAGTATTGATGCTAACTTGTCTACATAAGAAACGGCGCTTGTCAAGTGTTCTTGTGACAGACTCGGGCACCTCTCTGTTCTCAGATCAGGCATTGATAGATTTAAAGCACACTCTCCCTCTCTTTTTCTTGTATCTCTCTCACTGTCTCTGTTGAGTCATTGTATTTCTCAAACGGGGAGAGAATGGGTCTCTTTCAACTTTGAGATCCATTTAACACATATAATACAATGAAATGTGAGTAATTGCCCAAAAAAGAATGTATGCATGTATGCAGTGGTGTAATGTAACGAAGTAATAATACTTCGTTACAGTACTTAAGTATTTTTTGGGAGTATCTGTACTTTACTTGAGTTTTTATATTTCAGCCAACTTTTACTTTTACTCCACTACATTTCCTAATTAAAATGTATACCTTTACTCCAATACATTTCCCCGAAGCATATTCGTTACTCACTACAAAATAGTCAGAAGAACACGGACTGCAAGCAGGTTTGACGAATCAGTGTTCTGACGTCTGCAAGTTAGACTCCTAAAACACCTTTGCTCACGTGCAAACAAGCGTGCGCACAACCGCGGATGATTTCATTTTCCATTCAAGTCGAGTTTGTGTGCGATACAGCATCGTCTGCGATAATATGGTAAGTGTTGTTGTAATGATGTTCGATCTGACATTATGGAGTATATCACCAAATCACACAAACAGAGACAGAGTGCACGCATGTGATTTAGTTGTCTATTAAAACTCAAAATTCCAGGCATTCTAAATTGTAGACGGCAAAATGAATATGGCATATATATATATATATATATATATATATATATGGCAAATTATATATAAGTGACTTACATTTTAGACAATTACATTTTTGCTTAATTTTGCCAACGAAAATAGTTCCAAACGAAGATCACAGCACTGTTTTGTGTCTTTTTGAGCAATGGTGTTTACTTATTGGATGAATCAGCTTTTTGAACGAATCGGTTGAATAAATGATTCAGTGATTCGTTCATTAACACAGTCAAATGCTTTGTTCCTGAATGAATCAGTCCTTTAAATTAATCTCGATGACTCACTCATTAACAGTCACTTGCTGACACCTATTTTTTCATGTTTTAAATCATTTCAAATAGCAGTATTCAATGTTTTAAGTTAAAAACAAAACATTAGGCCTATTTATGCATCTGTAACTGCAGTTTAAATGCATCCATGTCCCCTCTGAGATACATAAACTGTGTAAATACATCTAAATGCTATTTCAGATGCAGATTCCAGAAATGTTTTCTTATGTTGGAATGAAAGACACTAAGTACCAGATGAAGTGCTTCTTATTCTTAACCAAAGATACAAAATGGAAGAGAGTTAAATCTGAACACAATCTTGCTACTTAAGCCGTGTATGAACATTTTGTATATATATTTATCTGCTTCTTTTACATTTTGCATTTACTTGTACTTTTACTTTCAATACTTAAGTACGTTTAAGATACTTAAGTATTTTACTTTAAGAGACTTTTCGTACTTAAGTACAATAAATATCACATACTTTAAGACTTTTACTCAAGTAATATTGTAAACGGTGACTTCAACTTCTACCAAAGTCATTTTCTGGTAAGATATCTGTACTTTTACTTGAGTATGGCTTTCAGGTACTTTATACACCACTGTATGTATGTGTGTGTGTGTGTGCGCGCGTGTGTGTGTGTATATATATATATTAATCAAATTAATCATTTTTATGCATAACTGGGGGTTTGCGAAAGGAACTGCAATGGTTTTGTGAGCTTTTCAAAAGCTAATAATTATTTAAATCATAAACATTTCAAATGAATAAATAGGGCTGCACATTTAATTTAAATAAAATTTAAATTGTGAGATTTAGTCTATAACAAAAAACTTAGTCAAAACACTTACTAAAAAATGCAGTATGTCATGTGACTGTTAACCAACATCAGAGAACCGTGAACATGCAAACATGCTGCGGACAAAAAAGTCCCTGGTTTATTGCATTTAATTACCATGTTTTATACAGTGTATATGAATATCATGTATGATATCATGTAATTTTAAGAGATATTATTGATTGACAGCCCTGATAATAATATAGATAATTTACATTAAATGTGTTAATGTAATGTTGATATCAACAGTAAATAATAATAATATTAAGTATTGCTAGTACTAAAAACATGAAGTGCTAAAACATAACTGTACTCATGACTGTACCCGATCTGAAAACCCTCCGCATCCACCTAAAAAAAAAAAAAAAAGTAAAGCGCTGCGTTTGAGATTTATTATCTGCAATTTTGTGTAAGTGAAGGAGGGCAAACACTTTGATAGGCTAATGGATTTTTAAATGGATTGGTTAACTTTATCTTTTCTAAAAACTCACTGTAAAGGCTGATGAGTCAACGGACATGACATTGACCTGCTGGCCTTCTGAAATACCTCAATGCATTTTCTGTTTTGTGAAGGAAATAAAACCGATTTATCTGCTAAATGAATCTCCCTTTTAAAGTAAATCTTTATTGTGCATGTGTGTATATTCTGCATTCACTCTCAGAAATGTCAGTTTTCCACTCACCATGCTGAGCTATCTATCCCTTTGTTTACCAGATGAATATTGATGTGAAATCCTCACGTAACTGTAAGGCCTATTCTTTTAATTGAGGAATTCAAGTCATTTGATTGGCTCTGAGGTCAGAACTGACATTTTGAGTGAATAGCACTTAAACTCTGGAATTGTGATGTGATCGCGCTCAGTGGGCCTGCCAATTGTCCGCACTCTAAATAGTTTCTATCCTTATCTAATTCTGAGTGATTGATTGCTAATCTTCCTCACAAAGAGAAAAGAAAGCAATCATCCCTCCCTAATCTATCCCTCCGTTTTAATTCATTCTGCTGAGGATGGAGACAAACTCTTCACACTGCCCTGTCAGCTCTCAAATGTCACCTAGGACTTTGATTAATTCATTTATATCCTTTCATTTAATTATTTATATCTTTTGTTTATCCTCTTGTTCGTGTAACGGCAGCCTGGGGTTCTAAACCCAGCTTGTTGGTTTTTAAACCTTCAGGTTTGAATGACTGAACCCGTCGCTCCATGAGTTCCTGGTGTTGAATGAAGTTGTTTCTTCAGGTGTGGAGCGGTTCAGTGATGGATGATTATTGCTTACATAAAATGCAGTGGACCGTTACTGGATAATTAAATTGATTTAAAATATCATGTTTTAAATATGAAGTAACTTCTCCCCAAAAGTCCTGCTTCACCAAATCACAAATAACTTTATTATTTTATTTTATTTTGATAGATTTTTCTCTTCTGTGAAGGAGCCACAGTGCAATGAATTTGCAAGAAAGTTATTGATTTTGCTTTCAGGAAATGCTAAAGCTCCACATGATTAAATAGTTTTGTTTTATGATTTACCTGCTCTTTCTGACTTCAAAATTTTTTGATGCATAATTATTTCAATCTCTGGCACAAGGATGCTGTTTTATTGTTTTTAATTAGGTGAGCGGTTTCAGTCAGGCAGTCATTCACCATTAACTTTATTCATGATAGTGTTTTTATTTCATTTCATTTCTTCATTTCATTATTTCATTTCATTTCCCACGTTTGTTTTGCCAAAAAGTCATTCTTATTTTTTTTAAGGTTCAAATACATTCATCTGACTAATATCAGAAGTATGGAAAGGCCCTTTTTTGCAGTGAGTTTTAATAAATTCGAAGGAATTTTTTAGTTTTGAAAGTTACAGTATGCTTTCATATTTCAATAAACTACTTTATCTGAAAAACATCAAGGACATTTGGACTCCTAGTGATATGACCTTTAACTGTTAAAAAAACTAACTTTTAAATGGATTGTATTGATCTGGTTGAAAGGAGTTTGTCTTGGTGTGACAGATTCTTCATCATAGAGTGTATTGAACTGACTTTCCATCATTGCATCACTGATACTGGTTCTTTATGAAAGAGTCTCTCAAACCGACTCTTTATCATCGAGTCACTGAGACTTGCTCATCATTGTGAAGTCACTCAGATTGATTCTTCATAACAAACCGCCACCAAATGATTCCTAATAATATCTTTTTCAGATCATATGCAGTGTCCTCACCGATCCAGCAGTATCTCAACGTATGTCATCATTGCTTTTCAATAATGCCACATTCCCCAATGCTACTAAGTTTTCTATCTCTCCCTAGGGTCCCACAAGCTGGTGTGAATGCACTGTCCATTTCACCTTCCAGCTTTACCGCTTTCCCCCTGTCACCACCGAGCGTCTGAAGCTGCTTAACCTGGAGAGGAACAGCAAGCTGAAATCCAGCTCTGATTACCCCTGTGTCCTCTCTGTTATCAACAAGGATGGCACACTTAGCTCTGGTATGATTACCATCTGCTACGAATGCTTTATGATTCTCTTCAGCACTCCTCAACATGTTTATTTCATTTGACTAATCAGTTGTCTTGTTTTAGAAGCATTCTTGAAAGCAAACGCATATTTATAGCACTCCTCAAAATCGCCAATATCACTTTTTTCGTTCTAATGAATTCGATCAATGTCTGTGTAAAACTTTATAGCCATTTTTAACTGCAACACATGCAGCGTTTTAGTGAATAAAGCTCTAAAAAATGAGCAATTAGAGTTTTACGGCTCTTGGCTGAAGTCCAATAATTGCTTTTAAGAAGGAGTCTTCATACACAGCAGCCTGCTGAGGAGAAGTGTAGAAGCGGCATGACTTTGTGATGAACTTGGTAGTGCTGAGAAAACAGTTTTGGCTCTGTCGGTTCATACGGCTGCCAAAAATACTTATTACCTGCCCCTGATGTGAGTTATTTTTATCAATAGTTTCTCACAGACTGGCAAAGGCCAATATTTCAAAGCACCTTAAAATGTTGAGCTAAGAGCACTTTAAGTACACTTTTCCCACCGCCAGAGTGGGGCTTTTTGCTCTCATGTTATACCATGAAAATCTTGGCTAAAGCTCATTGCCTTGATTTATATGTGTTGCGAGCAACACTTTGACTGAAAAGAGCTCCCACTATGAGGGAAAACCAAAACTGCTGTGATTTCACCAGTTGTTGCATTGAAATGGCTTTTACTGATTGGCTAGATAAAGTATCCGATGAGGTGGAACATACATAACATGAGATTGTGTGTGTCTCATGATGAGTAGGCAGCTTCTTATTTGCCTACAGCGACCAGCTGATAAGAATGAGGGGATAGTTGATGGAGATAGAACAAAGGTTGAAGAGTAAGATGGATAGAGTGGTGGAGAGCAGAAGAAATGAGACTGATAATGAGAGAGTGATAGAGCGTGAGAGCATGACGGAGAGATGCAAGGGTAAAAGAGGATCAGCTCTAACAGCCTGCTTTCAGCCTTTTTATTTCCGAAGAGACGTAATATCATACATAAAAAATACATCTAGCGTCAGCATGCAAGCCCTGTCCTCACAGTCAGCCCTATAAGATGGGAGACTTCAACCATTTTCAGGTTAAGGACCACTTGGTGAAAATAAAGACAGAAGAATATCATGTATATCAGGGTTGTGCAAATCTATCTGTCTGTTTATCTATTGGTCTGTCTGTCTGTTGGTCAGTCTGTATCTGTCTATGCTGCATGTCTCTTTGTTTATCTGTCTATATATTGATCTGTCTATACTGTCTGTCTGCTTGCTTTCTCTCTGTCTATCGTTTGTCTGTGTCTATCCATTTGTCTATCCTGTCTGCCTGACTATAGATTCTACATTCTGTATACTACTGTATACTCAATTCAAATTAAACTTAAATTCAGGAATTGAATAAAATTTTAAAAGGTATTCAATTTAATTCTAAATGGTGCAACCCTGATACGTATGGAACCACATTAATGTATTTATATACTGTTACGTGCTTACATTGCAAATAAAAAGAATTAGCGATTATGTACAGTGTATATTGCATGTGGGAGAAACAATTAAACATTTACAGTAGCTTCTTTATCTATGGTCTTTTGTAACTACATTTTATTCTATTTTTTTCCCCTCAAAAAATAGTTTGAAATCCATTGATAATTTTCTGGCACCATAGGAGTTACAGACCCCCTATTGAAGACCCCTGCTATAAGGCATTAAAGCATTATGCCTCAGTGCACTGAGCTCAGCCCTTAAACCCACCTCTGGCCTGACTATACAAGACAATGAGCCATACAGTGCCATAAAGATTACAGGCTGAATGGTGATGTTGTGCAGAAGGCCTTTTGATGTCTGTGGAGGGAACATCTGTATCATGTGGGATATGATGCTGTTATTGTGCAATTACTGGTTGTTGCATAACATCTTCACATCCCAGATTCTCGGCTGAGCATCGCACTTCCCTCCAATGAAGAAATAATATTTTTGGCTCTCTGCCTGAAGTAGTACAATGTAAAAGCAACAGTTAGTTTAACATTTTGACTTCATTAAGCATTGTTGCATTTGCTTGTTTTGTTTTGCCACGAATGAAAATGCATTCATTTGTGCTCAATTTTGACTGTGCTCAACCCGCTTGGCCCCATCAATCGGGCTTCAAATCCAGTCACTCCACTCAAACTGCTGATGTTTCCATAACCTCACATCACCAGAGTGTCCTTGCTTAACTCCATACTGTTTGTTCTGGATCTTTTGGCAGCATTTGATGCTACAAACAACAAACTATTGATCTCTAAGGTGGTAGAAATGCTCATTTCTAGGTCAGTGCTTTTCTGGTTTATATCCTACCTGGATGACAGCAGGTACCAAGTCAACTGGAAAGGCTTACATGCCTTACTCCACTGGGGTTCCACAGGGATTGGTGCTTGGACCTTTACCACTTTCTTTTTACACTTAGATCACTCAGATCTAAGGCTGTATGTACACACTTTGGGATGCATTAAATAAAAAAAAAACATTTATATTACAAAAGATTTCAAATACATGCTGTTCTTCAACAATTCATTAAGCAGCAGTACCAAATCGGCATACTACAGTGATTTCTAAATATATATACTCTCAAAATAACCCCTAAACTTGTGTATTTTTCTGTTAAGGTGGCCGAAGGATCTGTTGAGTAGGAAAAAAAAAAATTTCCTTGCCCGCTATTCCTCATCCAGACTATGGACATTGCATGGTTTTACTACTGCACTTCCCTTTTTGCAAGTCTGTCAACATCTCCGCCATACATCAAACATGCTGCCTTGCACTTCTTTACTCTTTTTACACGTTCCTTCTTTTCTGGCCTACCAGCTTCTGCTATACGTCCCATCGAGCACATCAATAATGCTGCCTTATACTTCTTTATACTTGTTTTTCTGACTTTAAATCACTGCTCAGATCACTGCCTAGGCCTTCACATGAGTATTGGTCCAGGACCTTCTCCAACTTTGCATAAAAACATAAATGTAAATGCAGTGTTACCAAAGCATTTTCAGAACTGATTACTGTCATCACTTTAGAAACTGGGAAACATGTGGGAACATATAGAAAACATCAGCGCCTGCGGCACTGCCAGTGTGTGATATTCATGACTGACAGGACATGGTGCATGCAAAAGGGATGGAGTTCAGAAATGTTTATGTAAATTTCCCACACATTTCGCTTGGTGGCTAAACTGAGCTCAGAGTGTTTGGTTTTTACATAAAAGTCCTTGATTGCTTGCTTCAGAGAATTGGACATTGCATTTTCTCACCCACCTGAGATTTGCGTTAAAGATGGGAGATTTACTTCACTCTCATTCTAAATGGCCACTAAACCCATCCCTTTAATCACAAACCTTTTTCTATCTCCTCTCAGTGTTCATGTTTGTTATTTCCTGTTGTACTTTTGTTTTTCTCTTACTTAGGTTGTCCTGGTCTGCAGCTGCAGTACCGAGTTGACCCGCAATTCCTCAAGCCAGGCGAATGATGCTGGTTTCTGCGATACCTGGCACTCCACTCCCTGCAGATTGATGTCTGGGACAGCGAATCCTTAATGCTTATTGGCTCAGCTGCTGTGCAGCTGAAGGTTAAATTACCTATCAGGGTCAAAAATTTACTTTTGCCCCACCAGCTATAGATATTTCTTAGCAGCCGTGAAACTGCATTATTGGAAAATGTCTGTCTACTATTCAAGAGTTTGTAAAATTTCAGTCAGTAAGAATTAATAAAAAAAAAATAGTACTTTATATTCGGCAAAGATGCATTAAACTAGTCAAAATGACAGTAAAGACATTTATAATGTTATAAAATATTTAAACATTTAAAAAAATCTGTTCTTTCTATCAAAAAAATCCTATCCACAAAAACAATAAGCAGCACAAATGTTTTAAACTGTGATAATAATAAATATTAATTAATAAATATTAATAAATATTTCAAAATCAACCTAGAATGATTTTTACATTTTGAATTTTAAAGCAAATTAAAATAGAAAATAGTTATTTTAAATGGCAATAATATTTCACAATATTACTGTATTTACTGTATATTTTTAATCAAATATATGCAGCCTTCTTTCAAAAACATTTGAAAATCTTTATCTACCCTAAACTTTTGAATGGTACTGCATGTTTTGTGATATAATTAGATTATTTAGCTGTTTTTATTTTTTTTTTTACTGAAATTAAAACCTAAACTTTACACCTAATTTTTAAAAATTTTAAATTCTATTTTCGGGGTTTACTTGCAAGAAACAAACAAAGTAATTTGTTCCAAAGACATTTGCTAACTGAATAAGCTGACAGAAAGCCAATAAAGGCATTTACATGACCTTACATGTTGTCAACATATTTTCCATAAGGTCATGCATGTAAACACACTCAAAGGCTCAGCAGTAATATTACAGTAACCCAACTCACCTCACATAAACAATGAAAAAACAATATTACAACACACCTCACATTCCTTGGCAACAGCCTTGCAAGTCCTCAACTTGCCATGTTGGTAATAACCCCACAAGCCATACACAGAATTTTGACACAGGTACAAATACTGCCCTCATTAATAGCCCAACAGAACTCACACAGCTGTTTAACCCAGGCAGACAGTCACCCTGCAGATCGAAACCTTTTTGCATTATTCATTATTTAGTGTGCTCAGATGGGAGTGTCATGTCGAAATTATGAAATATGCATGCCATACTTCAGGACACCTGCGTCTGTTAGATCTCAACGCCGCAGATCTCTTGGCTAGAGCTCTCATCGATGTCAGCTATTGAATTAAGATTAAAACAAAACAAGACCAGAAATAGATACAATCACATCAACATAATTGGACTGTTCATCTTTAGCATGGAATCTGACCTTTTCAGAATTAACAAAGGGTCCATTTAGGGTTCAAACACTACCACAAGGTCGTCACGCAGTGGCATTTGTCAGTAGTCTGTAACATATGTCTTAGTTGTTGGTTATTTTTGTTTATCTTTTTGTTCTACATGGTAAGATCAATAAAATTGATTCAGGGGGCATGACAAATTGCCTTGATTTTTAGCACAATTATTTATAACTGATCACTCTATATTTAAGATCTTAAATTGACAGCTTTAAAGGGTTAGTTCACCCAAAAATTAAAAATTTGTCCATGTTTTACTCACCCTCAAGGCATCCTAGGTGTATATGACTTTCTTCTTTCAGACGTATCCAATCAGAATAATATAAAAAATTGTCCTGGCTCTTTCAAACTTTATAATGGCATGGGCAGGAGTTTTTGTTCAACAGTCCAAAAGTAGTCAAATAAAGCACGCACATTCATATTAAAACGCGCATCACATGGTTCCAGGGGGTGAATAAAGGCTTCCTGTAGCAAACTGATGCATTTTTGTTAGAAAAATATCCATATTTAACATGTTATAAACAGTTTTGTGTAACTAATGCTAACTGTCGTATGTGCATTCACGAGAGACTGCCTTTCCTGGCGTAGGATGTAGGCGCAGCGCGTGTGAGTATCGCGAAAACCAATGTTTGTTTACAGGAGTAAAGGAAGCAAAGTTTTCTTACTTTGCCAAAGGAAAACCAGCCTCCTCTTGGCTTATATCAAAATCCTCCGACATTTTTCTTGACAAATCCTTATTTTCTATTTCTAATTGACAGGCCTTTTGTTTTGCTGTCTCTCCTCTGCGCTTCCGCATTTGTCACGAATCACCGGCGCGTGCGCGATGCATACGTCCTATGTCGTCCACCGGAAATGGCTTTCGCCTACGACAGTTTGCAGAAGTGAGAAAAAGGTGTTTATATATGGACATTGATTCGCTACAGGAGTCCTTTATTCACCCCCCGGAGCCATATGATGCACGTTTTGATATGGATGCACACGCTTTATTTTACTACTTTTGGACTGTTGAACAAAAACACCCGCCCATGCCATTATAAAGCTTGAAAGAGCCAATATGGATGCACACGCTTTATTTTACTACTTTTGGACTGTTGAACAAAAATGGCCCCATGCCATTATAAAGCTTGAAAGAGCCAGGACAATTTTTTATATAACTCTGATTGGATTCATCTGAAAGAAGAAAATCATACTGTGTACACCTTGGATGCCTTGAGGGTGAGTAAAACATGGACTAATTTTCATTTTTGGGTACACTAACCCTTTAATAGTAGTATGTGACGTTTGCTTTTGCAGCATATGCTGCGTCAAGGCCGTGCAGCTGTCCAGGTGAACCATGAGCTAGAAGTGATCACTACTGAGTACCTGCAGGATGCCAACTTTGCCAGCAGGCATGACAACAAGCACAGCGCCACTCCAGCCATCAATGTCTACACTACCGTAAAAGGAATTCTGCATCTGCGGCTTGGCAACGTTGGTAAGGATTGCTTAAGCACCATGAATTAAAAATGTAATTTTTAGTTTGTAAGATTATTTCCCAGAAAAGTTTAAACATTGATTTGTGGCTATATCAAAAATTCCTGTAATTGTCAGGGATGTGCAACATTCAGCGTTGAATTGAATTGAGTTCAGTTCTTGAATTTGAAGTGCGGTAGAAAACTAGAACTAGAAACTGATTGGGGCGCAGGCCATGTTTTCACCAGCTGCTCATGTACGTCAGGGAAAAAGGGGACCGACGTCCTCGAGTCAGCTTTCCGGGTGGACCTGAAATACCAGGAGTCAAGCTTACTCCTGGCAGGCTCCTCTGGAGGACACCAGGTAAGCTCCAACTCCTGGACAGCTCTTGACAGAACCCTCATGAACTTTGACCTTTGGTTTGGAATAATAAAAATCATAAGTAAAAGGTGTAGTAAATCAGCTCAAAAGGGAAATATTTATGACTAATTATAACTGGTTATGATTAATAATAAATATTTAGATTAGATCTTTGAATTAACTGTAGCAGAATCAATATTACCATTACTTGATCTGTCGGTCCACCGAGCAGACAAAATAATAATTTATCAATCCAAAGAAAGATAATTTTCCTGACCAAGGAAGAATAACTTTTCTTATTTATGCAGTGCTAGCAGTAATTTAACATATGTAGCAAGGGTTCAAAACATTCATTGACTTCGAATTGTGAGCAGCAAACAGAGACAATCAGTTGTGAATATAAGGGATTTAATAAATGAAACTATATCGAACATATAACTAAGCAAAACACATATACAGTGGGTACGGAAAGTATTCAGACCCCCTTAAATTTTTCACTCTTTGTTATATTGCAGCCATTTGCTAAAATCATTTAAGTTAATTTTTTTTCCTCATTAATGTACACACAGCACCCCATATCGACAGAAAAACACAGAATTGTTGACATTTATGCAGATTTATTAAAAAAGAAAAACTGAAATAACACATGGTCCTAAGTATTCAGACCCTTTGCTCAGTATTTAGTAGAAACACCCTTTTGATCTAATACAGCCATGAGTCTTATTGGGAAAGATGCAACAAGTTTTTCACACCTGGACTTGGGGATCCTCTGCCATTCCTCCTTGCAGATCCTCTCCAGTTCTGTCAGGTTGGATGGTAAACGTTGGTGGACAGCCATTTTTAGGTCTCTCCAGAGATGCTCAATTGGGTTTAAGTCAGGGCTCTGGCTGGGCCATTCAAGAACAGTCACAGAGTTGTTGTGAAGCCACTCCTTCGTTATTTTAGCTGTGTGCTTAGGGTCATTGTCTTGTTGGAAGATAAACCTTCGGCCCAGTCTGAGGTCCTGAGCACTCTGAAGAAGGTTTTCGTCCAGGATATCCCTGTACTTGGCCGCACACATAACATCATAATCGAGGCAGCAACACACGAATAGAGGTAGCATAAACGTGAATCAGTCACTCACCAACAGCACTCGGGAGGCTAAGGACTGAACATCCAGCTTGTAAAACCTGGCAAAGGTATTCTGGGAAGACCAGCCGCCTGCGAAGCATACATCTTGAATAGACATACCTCTCGACCACGCCCAGGAGGAGGCGATAGCTCTTGTTGAGTGTGCCCTAACGTGAAAGGGGCATTCCAAACCTTGGCTCGTATAAGTAGCCGTGATAGCGTCCACAATCCTCCCTGCGGTTCAGGAGACCAGGGATGTGCACTGCTCTGATGAAGAGAAAGTGACGGTCCGCCCATAGCAGGAGATTCGCTGCTTGCTTGTACGAAGCCCTGGAACGTACGCCTCCTTGGTGATTTATGTACGAGACCACAGACATGTTGTCGGTGCGAATCAGTACCTGTCGCTGTCCTAGCTGCGGCTGAAAATCCTTTAGAGCTAAGAACACTGCTTCCAGTTCCAAGCGGTTTATGTGCCACTGGCTCTGGGGTTCTGACCACAGCCCCGAAGCCGGCATGCCCTCGCACACTGCTCCCCAGCCACGAGAAATTCCTTCAAGTGAACAGAGCTGCCCAGTCTGAAATGGCGCAGGGAAGACAAAATGGCTCTCATCTCCACCGAATCGAAGCACACTCCCAGATATGTTATAGACTAACTCGGGGCGTGAGGGCTCTGCCCTCTGCTGCCTGCAGGAGCTTCGCCTGAAAAATTTGCAGCACTGCCATGGCGTGCAGCGCGGAAGCCGCCTCGCCATCAAACGCATATGCTTTATTGGCAAGGTGGGCGGTGGTTCTGCACGGCTTTGAGGGGAGGCTGATGTCTGAGCCTAGGGTCTTGGCTGCTGCAGGACACAGGTGCGCAGCGACGGTCTCCTCGACTGGGGGAGAGCGCACGTACCCGTGGGCCTCCGCCCCATCCACGTGGGCGCGGCGGGTCCGGAGCACGCGGGCCGGAAGGTCCGTGCAATGCCTGCAGTTGGACTCGTCCAGCGCCACCTCGGCGTGGGCCAGGCCCAGGCAGGCGATGCAGTAGTCGTGCTGATCCGGTGGCTCTATCGGTCCCGCGCAGATCGGGCAGATTGTTGCCATAGTGAATTCAACAGGTGAAGTAGAAGATTCTGACGTAATTGTCGCGTGCACCGCATTTTATACTGCCTCTCGAGCTCGTCAGTATTTGCATGCGATTTGCATACTTCGCGTCAATTGGCCAGTCATCGGACTGGCGGGAGCCAATAGGACTTCAGGAAAGGGTGGAAGGGAAGGAGTTCCCATAGCGGAGAAATATCTCCGTGATGTCTCGTGAAAGCTCGAGAGGGAACACGTATATATACAGAATGAAACAAAGTAAGGAAAAGAGAGATGGAAGTAAAAGGATGGCAGTATTTCACATCAAGTTTAAACACAACCTTTGAGAATCATCAAAGAATCAAAAATCACCTTAAAAGGGGCTGAAACTGAAACACGCATTTAAATAGTTGTAAACGGTTACTTGCATTGGCTTCGATTGCTGAACAAAAGTTCTGATGTGGTAGACAATGGAGGTCTTTGATGAGTTCGTTAGGAGTGAGCTGGAAGTTTACTTCTGGTTTTTCTGAAGAAGGAAAAGTCCACAGCGACTAAAGTTACTTGAAGATAAAAACTGCCGGAAAATAAAAACTCAAGTGAAAAATCTTGAGAGTCTTGGAAAAGTGTTGTATCAAATGAAGAGAGTTTCTGAGCCAAGATTAGTCTGAGCTAATGACTTTTGATAGTTCCTATCCACACCCACCTTTTGGGTGGAATGGCAAATCAGAGGCATGAATTTTGAGCGGGAGAAACTTTCTTTGTCTCTGTTTATGGGCCATTTGCATGTTTATTGCTGGTCTGGAAGATTGGTGCAGTTTTACCCAAAATATGCTACAAATAGTAAGATGCATTTCACGATCACATAATTTAGATCATTGTTTGAGGAATAAAGAGCTGATCATTTTGATACCAAGAACGAAACATCTAGAAGATCTTAAAGCAGAGATACACTCATATACCTGAATATACGCATTGAGAGTCTAACTAATACAAATAAGAAGTTGTAACTAGGCTAATACAACAGGGAAACATACAAACAACACATGCATATACCAGATACAATTATAACTGATTAATTATAGCCTAAATAAAGAAATGTCTTTATGTGTGTGTGTGTGTGTGTGTGTGTGTGTGTGTGTGTGTGGGTGTGTGTTATGTGAGCATGTTGTAGTTTGCTGGTCAGCCAGGCCCATTGGTGCCTGGCCCCGGGGTCATTTACGTTTCTTTGGAATGTGTTTGAAATTCAATGGGGAAACGAGAGTGGTGAAACTGTTTAGCATCTCCTTGATAGTGGGGGGAACCATTGGCCATTTAGCACCCATATAAGCGTAAAGTCTGTGACCAGGACTGTAATTTATATGCAAATGTCAAAAGCTAAAAGGGTCTCTTAAGCCATAAAACCCAAAGATCATGCATGATTCTACGCAGACGCTACAAAGGAGTAATTTTTACCTAGGACATTTTGAATGTAGGCTTGACACAAAGCCTTCTGGAAAAAACATTTAAAAGCCATAGACTGTTGGATGGATTGATCGATATATAGACATACAGAAATGATACACTTTGTCTTTAAAGGGGTCCTATTATGCTTTTTCACTTTTTGTATTTTAGTCAGTGTGTAGTGTGTATGTTTGGGCATAAAAAAGATCAACAAAGTTACAAATCTCAAAGTCCACTCCAAAGGGAGATATTTAATTTTTTAAAATCCATTTTTAAGAGCTACAATGAACGTCTCATTTGGACTACAGTGTTGTTTTCCGGGTTTTGTGATGTCACAAAGCAGCCCATTAGAGTATCATTCAAATAATTCCCGCCTATGGAAATTCGAATGGTTGGGGGGTGGGGAGGGGTGAGGTCGTGGTTAGAACGCTTGGTTGAGTGCATCAGACAAGACGACAACGAAGAAGTAGTGTTGCTCTAGTGCCAAGTTTTCGCAAGTTATTACAGTTGCACCTGAATAAGTATGTATATTACAATTATGAAAATGATTTTTATAATAAATTGCTGACAGTACAATACTGGACAATGATGTAATCTGCAGAATTTACACTTCAGTTATGAGACTACAGTGTTTCCCATACATTGAGTGCGGGTGTTTTTATATCACTGTATTTCTGAAGGAAACCGACTGTCTTCAGAAAATTGGATGTCATTTTCATTTCATCTTGCATGTAATGTCTGATAAAGCAGTATTTGTGAGCGGATCGCTGCTTTGTGTACAGCCGGTACCAGGGAAACCTCGATCTTTACCACTTCAACAGCGAAGAATTTGCATATATATGCCGCCACAAATAGAGTGCAAGTCTGTGGGAAACACTGGGCTATGGTATAAATAAATTCAACTGTATAACAGTTTCACTGCAATTCATGTTATAATGTTAGAATTAAAGTACAATAATACATATGGGGGTATACATTACATAATACATTTTTTTTCAATTACGTCAAATTGCGCAACTTCTTCCTTTACTCAGTAGAAAAGATGCGGAA